TGAATAGTTTCTTTTTTTAATTTTTAAATTGTCATTTACTTGTAAAAAGTCAAGTTTTACTTGGCTTCCCCCGGAAACAAATGCCTTCTAAATTCTAAAAAGCTGGTTTTGGTGGTGCACCTGTAATCCCAGCTACTCAGGAGGTTGCAGCCGGAGGATCGATTAAGCCACAGGCAACACAGCAAGAACCCCCTCTCTAAATGAATGAATGAATGAATCATTAAACAGTCTCTGTCTCTCACAAAGAGAGAAACACACACGAACACACACACACACACGTTTGGAAAAAAAATATTCAAAAGTTGGAGACTGAAAACCATCACTGATACCATGAATGTAGTATGTTCCTCTTAGGACAAATTATCAAGTAAAAAAAAAAACCCTGTGTTCTTTTTTTTTTGAGACAGGATCTTACTCTGTCACCCAGGCTGAAGTGCAATAGTGTGATTACAGCTCACTGCAGCCTCAATCTCCCAGGCTCAAGTTGTTCTCCCACCTCAGCCTCCCAACCAGCTTGGGACTACAGGCATGCGCCACCACACCTGGCTAATTTTTTATTTTTTGTAGAGATAGGATCTCCTTGTGTTACCGAGGCTGGTCTCAAACTCTTTGCCTCAAGCAGTCCTCCCACCTCAGCCTCCCAAAGTGCTGGGATTACAGGCATGAGAAAAAATCCTGTGTTGCAATTGAAAAATTCACTATGAAAAACAGTCCAACTTATTTAAAGTGTATTTGTTTATAACTTTTTTCCAAAAATTAGATATTTCTTCTCTGGAAATATTTTTCTTAACTTGCGTTATATGATAACCACGCAAATTTATTTTCTTATTTGGCTAACCTTTCCCAGTTTCTGCTGAGGTCTTTTTGTATTCTTGTCTGTACTTTAAATATTAGTATTCCTTACAGATCTGATTCTTACTCTACATATTTTTCATGGAGGAAAAAAATAGTGATTAATAGCACAAACTTGGGAGTCAGATTGGGGTTTAAATCTCAGTTGTGCTACTTACTAGCATAATTTTATACCTATGTACATATGCACACAATACTTACGTATATATATTGTCCTGCTTTTAAGAAGTGGTATTTCAAGTACCTGCTTTTGGTGAAGAAAAAGTAAATTAAAAAAAAAAAAAGTATTAGCCAGGTGTGATGGCCCATGCCTGTTATCCCAGCACTTTGGGAGGCCAGGGCAGAAAGATTGCTTGAGCCCAGGAATTTGAGACTAGCGTGGGCATTTCATTTATATAGTAGATACATTTTTAAAGGGAGTCTTAGGCATGAATTAAACATTTTAAAATGTATTATGGAAATTGTATTAATTAAGCTTCCTATTTAAAGGGATACTTTTGAGCCGGCCGCCATGGTTCATGCCTGTAATTCTAGCTACTTAGGAGGCTGAGGTGGGAGGATCTCTTAGCCCAGTATTTTGAGGTTGTAATGAGCTATGATTTTGCCATTGCACTGTAGTTTGGGCAACAGAGCAAGATCCCATCTCTTAAATATAAATGAATAATAAAAGGATGTTTCCTGTCTTGGGAAGCCAAGACAGGAAAATTTATTGAGGCCAGGCATTCAAAAGCAGCCTGGGAAGCATAGCGAGAATCTGTCTCTACAACAAATTAAAAAATTGCCTAGATGTAGTGGGACACACCTGTGGTCCAAGCTACTGAGGAGGCTGAGGTGGGAAGCATTTCTTGCGTCCCGGAGGTCGAGGCTACAGTGAGCAATGATCATGCCACTGCACTCCACCCTGGGCGACAGAGTGAGACCCTGTCTCCAAAATAAATAAAATTAAAAAGGTGGTATTAAAAATCACTTTTTTTTTTTTTAAACCATTTTAAGATTTAGATGAGTGTCCCCAGCGTTGGCGTCGGCGTCGGCGTCGTCGTCCTGGTGCTGGTCTCCGTCCGGTCGCCTTGGTCTCCAGCCCTC